GCACGCCTTTTTAATTACACAAATGTGCAGTAGACTAATTATACTGTGCATTAGCGCAATAACAAGGTTTTTGCTGTGACACACTAATGCTCAGTAGAAATAGTCTGTTGTGCATTTAGCATCTTGTGTAGAAGCACCCACTAACTCCCAGGTTGCTGTAGAGGGGGTATGTTAGTTTATTGGCAGGTGCTCCATCTACTGTCACCCAAAATAGCTCCTGTCTGGAGTATATATAATTTAGATGGCCTTAGGGTGGCTTGCTGCACCCTGGGCAAATATCACACTCTGAGCCCACATGTAATGGACACAATCAGCTCATTGAATTTGGTGCGTTTGAATGGTTGGTTGGACTGAGAGCAGCATTTGATCTATAGCATCCATTCCATACTAACAGGACTAAAATAAATAAATCCTTAGGCCTCAAGATGAAACTATAGTTTAATGTCTGAAGCTTTCCTAAACAAATTGATAAATATATTAACATTTGAGGCTTTTCCTAGCAATGTGGAGGTCTTATTGTTTTCATACCTACTGAAACAAAGTAGGAACAGCCCCACAAAACTATTATGTTACCTGCACTATGATATAATGCTTGTAATAATACACTACTATTATTTAAAATGATAGTGTTAGAAAGCCACAAAAAAATCTCTAGGAACCTGCAGTTCTCTCTGTAAATTCACTACTAATCAAACATCCTACAACATTGGTGTTACAATTGCAACTCCATTTAGTACTGAACTTCTTACTGGACTCAAACACAAATTGCTTTCAGCTGCCCTCCACAACTGCATCTTATTAGCCTTTTCACTAAAGCCAATTTATGTAAATCCAATATTATTAGTTAAATAATTAAAGTAACCATCAACTTCGTTTGCTTTTAAGAGATGCAAAAGAAATTAAGACTTTAAACACCCCATCTGTAGTACTTAGTCCTCCATCTTTTCGATTGCAATGTACATTTAACATTTCTTTATGTCTATTTGAATCCAATGCTAAGAAAAAAGGTGCATCTTCAAAATAGCATTGTGCACACTTGTGCTTTTATAACCATTACTTTTCCTACAAAGACAGGTTTGTATGAAATTAGAAAAACTGTGAAGTGCAAAATGATATGGGTTGCTTTCAGCTTTTGATTAAATCAACACCAACTACAAAATCAAAGTGTAGCTAGCTCATGGAGGACTCTATTTTTGCTGTTTTTACAATAGTTTTCTCCACATGCTGTTGAGATCAGGAATGAAAGAACATCTCTCTGTGGTGAATGAGCAGTTATGGGACACAGAGAACAGGGAAAAACAAGGAGCCAATGAATTAACATGACTTTCCAATACTGACTGACAACATATATTTCTGATCCATAGCTTCCTAACAGCTTAACTTGGCTGAAGCTCCCAAAAATGACATTCAGACACCACAGGGCTGGAGAAGGTTAAGAAAAACATTTCCATAATTTGTAAATATTAAGGTGAAGAAAAACAGTAAAAATGAGCCATGCCCTGCTTGCTTTACATATATATTACTACACTGAGTTTCTGAGCATTGCTAAGCAGTGTTGCAGCTCTTAAAAAATTAGCAGTTTTTAACATTATAAATAGGGCTTGGTTTAAATTGCAGGCCCAGCTTGCTAGTATTGTGACCCAATCATAGCAGAGGATGCTATTTTCACACCCAGATTGTGGCACTCACCCCACAATTGGACCACAATACTAGTGATTGAGAGGAAGGGAGGGGGCAGGGAAGGAGGGGAAGATGGACTCCCCTGGCAGTGCAAGGAAATGACACATGATATGGGCATTTGCTGGGGAACTCCCCAGCAAGCAGTTTCCTTGCAAATCACATTTTTTTTGTGAAAAATCACTTCATTTAATGATTTTCAGGAAAGATGTAAAATTGGAATTTAAACCATGCCCTAATTATAAATGATATGCACTAGGCTTTATTTTGCTTTATATAGCTGAGATGACCTGAATTATGATATAGCTTCTTTGACTGCCTGGGCTTATATCAAATTCTGCTTAAATGGAAACAGAAGAAAGAATTCAGCCCGTGCATCTGGAATTCAGGATTGCCAGAATACACTGGTGCTACGGAGAAGGAATGCAAATAAATCTTACATTTGAGTAAGTGAGCAATCAAAACTTTTCATTTTGTTCCATAGCCTTGTCAAAGAGATTTAGCAAACCAGGGAATCTCACTATGGTAATACAGGGTAAATACTTTAAAAGCATAGATTGTTGCACTCTGGCTTTGAGAGGCACATAACAACTCAGAAACACCTTGTGTCTTTGCCCAACCAATCATAACTCAAGATTCTAAACTACCACCAAAGAACATAACATCCCACCTTGGTGACAGGTAATGTTCTGCCTTCTGGATTACTATTGGACTCATCATTGAACTACTGTGGGCATAATTTTGCTCATGAAAGGGTAAAAATGGCTGCAGATTTTCTTGTACTCCTATTTGGTCAAGGCAGAATTTAACAAGGGGGAATTGTATGACACCACCAATTTTCCTTTCATAGGTACTATCTGGCACATTTTCCCCCCATTAAAATATATATAATAATATATTGATTAAAAATTTCGTTCAAGAAGGAAAAAAATGTTGCTTTACCGTAAACCTCCAAAGACTGGATGGTTGGTTATAGTGAAAAGCTTCCCTCACTGCATATGGGGGAGGCTCAGCTTCTACAGTCTCTCTGTGATAGGTGTTTATATGAACACTGTCTCCACCAACAAAGGTTTCATTTATTTAAACAGGAGTTTTGGGTGCCTGCACTTTTGAGAGATAGGTTAGTGGTGCCTAGAAACATCCTTGAAGAATCAGGTACATAGATTCCCAGGTATGTATGTTCCCATTCATTCCATTGCCCTCTTCCTGTTATTTGTCTACAGTTTCTGCCAGAGCTACCTACTGCTCCCCTCATTTCCTTCCATCAGTCCAAATCCAGAGCCCATGTCTACAACTGTTTTCCAACTCCTCCTCACTTCTGGTGTTATCCCTCCCTTGTTAAAGTGACCATTATTTGTAATGTCTCATTTTTACTGTGCTTTGCCTATCTGTTGTACTCAACTGTTGTGGATTGTCTTATACTTAGATTGCAATATTAAAATTTGTCAAGTGTTTTGGTATTTTATGGGATTAATGCTACTATTCTGTATATATATCAGCTGTTACTGTAGGAATGTACCAACGTCATCATACACACTCCTTTTATGTCAGGACTGTGCTTGGAAAGAGAAATCCCTTATTTCTGTTCACGTAGGTATTCAGTAAAAATGATCTACATTTCTGTGTTCGCATTATTTAAGTGCTTGCTTTCAGACAGGATCTTTAATTGCAAATTTTGTACAAGGGAAAGATGAAATGTGTTTGGAGGTAACAGAAATGAGAGGCTGTACCTAAGCTTCCAAACAAAAGGTCTTAGCACAGATGGGCACATTCAAAATTTACTTTAGATGAATGATATGTCACATTGAAACAGGAAAGGTTGAAGAGACATCTGCAGGGACACAGCTCCAGGAAAAAAATAGGGATTAGCTTGTCAATAAAGATGTAAACAGGCTGCTCTGAGGCAGCTTCATTTCTGCCATTAGAAACTCTTAAATGGTTTGCTAGAGAAGAGCATGTGCAATAATTGGGGCAAGCTACCAGGACTGAAATCTAATCACTTCAGTCTTTAAAAGTCACTATTTGCCTTACAAGACTCCCTCCCCCAGGCACACACCCTTAACATAGGGCAAAAAAATAGATATTCACATAATTTTACATTGTGGAAACTACATACAATTCATTGGGGAGAATCTATATCTGATAATCGGATCTAGGATGACATCCCTAGATACCTAATAAAATGAAACAATATACATAATAGATTACATAATATATTAGGGTTTAATTCATGACAGGTGATACACCAGCATTTCAATTTCCCTCACTTCTCATTTGTACCTTGTTAAATGTTTGATGCCAACAATTTTAAAGAATAGCAAGAGATCTTTTTAACATTCAAAAATAGAAGGGCAAGGTAAATGCATTCTGCTGTTTGACCATTTTATCAATGGGTTACATTTTAAAATAACAAAGCCAGCCATGAGATATGCACTGGATGTTTCCACAAATTATTAAGAGTATGAGTACTAATACAACTCTTGCCAACATTGTACAGATTTGGAATTCTGTGACTATGAAAAAAAGGTGTCTAACTTCACTTTTAAGAAGTATTAAGATGGCAAAAGGCTTGCTGGTGCAACTGGCTGCTTTGAAAGAGGAAAGTCCCACTAATCCCACAGGGTGGACAAAATGCAAATGGACATTTCCAAATTAATAGGAAATTAGCCATCCGTTGAATTTAACTTACATTTGCAACATGCCAGGTATCTCCTTTATCCTGGAAGCACTTACATCCCTACTGTGCTATTAGACTATCTGATACTGTAACCAGCGTAATTTCAGTGCTGAAGTATGTGGGTTTGAGGAGCAAGAGATTCAAACCAAACCCAAGCAAAACTAAAGCCATGTGAGTGGGAAAGGAAGCATACTGATAGGCAATACTCCTCCCATTAGAGGTAATAGACCTCCATTGGTCATGGTGGTAAAAACTTGGTTTAACTGCACTCATTTATCCCTATACACAAGCCTACTAGCAGAAGTAGCAAGAAATGCCTTCTTTTGTCAATACCTCTCTAGGAATCAATTGCTCTCTCTATGAATCTGCTCATCACAAAGCCTTCCTGCTGCACTAGTGAGAAGCTTCCTACTGGCTTCTGTAAACTCAACAGAACAACATCCCAAGCTGTTAGTCCTATTGTTTCAACCCACCTATTCTCTTTGCCTAGGACTTACATGTGTCTGGAAAAATCTTTGCTCAGTTTTACATCCTTGAGGATAAGTCATCTGCAATAGAAGTGGACTTAACCTTTTTTTCCTCAGCTCCAAACAAAAATTAAATTAAACATTGCAATCAGAAATTCTACTAGATAAGCACGTCTTACCTGCACTCTCTGTAGTAAATCTAAGTATTCTTCAGTGCTTGCTGTTTGATAGACTTTTGCCATAACTATTGTTTTTCCCAAAGACTCTCATGCTCTCTCCAGCCTCTGGTTGTAATCTTACATTCGGTACAGTAAAAATAGAGGACACTGTGGGGAAAAGTGGCAATTTAAAATGTTACATTTGTTGTTTTCTTATACAGTTTTTCTCTTTACAATATTCAGTTAATATTCAAGGCAGACATCAAAAAATGAGCAGATACAGCTGTATTTGTACTTTTTCAAAAAACTGTTTTTAAATCTTCAGTGACAAGGAAATAGGATGGATTCTGCTGAAGGTTGTGTTAGGAAAGGTTACAAAGTTGTAACAAGTTGGGTTTCCAGTTTGTTTTCTTGTTCACTTACTCAAATGTATGATTCACATTTTTCTATAATTTTTGAAGTACCTTTAAAACACAGCAGTATGTCTAAAATAAGACAGAGCTAGTCAACAGACCTTATATATTCTGTTTTCAAATCTTTACTATCTGTGGAACTAATTATCCATATTTACCTTCTTTTGCTTGAAAAGGAGAAAACTACTATGGTAAGGACCATTAAGGCATGTTTTAAAAATAGGTAGTTTATAACTGAAAGGAAACCAAATAAATGTAGCTACAGAATATATGCCTGTTCTTCCAGATGCGTAACTGATAAACTAGATAAATCTAGATCAAAATTTCAGGGTAATGTCAGGAAAGTAATTATTAATGGACATGACAATATTGGCTGAGAATGTCAAGGAATGCAAATGGTCAAGAGCAAAAACTGATGAGATTAAACCCAGTTCTTCAGACTGGTTGAGAGAAACCATAGTCTTTTGATACTTTTTTGCAAACATTAGTGCCAATGTATAATAAGATTGTTACTATCAAAAATCTAATCTATGGGCTCACATGTGATTGTAGGAGCAAAATTACACATGTGAGTTTAGAGTTTAGACTGAGAACCTTATAATTTTCTTTGTCCTCCAGATGCTGGAGACAGTGTTGCATTGCCCACTTCAACCCCTAGTTTTGAAATTACATATCCCCATTTATGGTACTAATAACACACATTGAATATTATTTGTTTTCTTGGTTTTTTCAAAATCAGACAAAATGTTATAAATTATTTAGATAGGCAAGAATTTTTGTGGGTGATATCTTTAATTGGACCAGCTGTATAGTTGGGAGGGACAGTTCATATCCAAAAATGTGTCTATATCCCTCCCAATTATACAGCTGGTCCTATTACAGATATCACCTACAAAAATCCCTGCCTCGTTTTTCCTAGACCATCATGGCTACAATATCACCCTAACCTTGCTATATTTATGTATTTTATACAACTACATTTTTATATACTCACTTCAGCATAAAAGTAGAAAAGGGTGAAGACTACAGTTAATTATTTTTAATAGAAAATGCAATTTGACACATTTAATATATGGGTCTGAGGTGATTACAAGGCTGTGTTGTCTTGGCTGCACTAATGTACTGTGCTGTATTTCTAGAGTTTATAGTATATTAAGGTAGGTCTCCCAGCACCATTTTTCCATTGTATGTGTTCATTATGGCTGCTTGCAGATGTTAAAAAACAAAACAAAACCACGCTTTACTGGAAGCAGCAGTGCATTACTTCACCCCAGCTCTGCAGCATCTGTATAGATCAGGTGCTTCAACAAGGCTTTTTGGCACTTTAACTAAAGCTGATTCAATCAGCTATTAGATAAAAGTGCCAAAAAAGCCCCACTGAAGTGCCTGATCTATACAGATGTTGGGTGAGCTGGGTCCAACTAAGGCACTGCCTCTTCTGGGCATATGTGGGACTCAGCATGGGGATGTGCTGAATTTAAAGTGCCATTTTTTTAAACGCCTGCAAGAAGCTTATGTTTCTAGCACAATAAAATATTTGAGGCATTTGATTCAGTATATTTGCTGCCCTGAAACTGGAGTTTCCAACCCATAGGAAAAATATGACATTTCAAAATGTTTTTATTCCAAAATGGAATAGAAAGTCAAAATGTTGATAATGAAAAAAACAGTTTATTTTTATAAGGTAAAAGAAGTATAATATAAAATACTGAACACTTAAAATGATAGACACATCATAAACTTTATAATATGAAAGTAAAAAAAATAGCAAATTGAAACAATGTTATTTGACACTTGATTTTTAGGAAAAGAAAAGCATTTTCTTTTTCAAATTCAGTGATTTATATTTCCAGTGGGAAAGTGTTAGGTCAACTTTTTTTCAAAACCAGTTCTAACTTTAGAAACCCATTTCTTTTTTCCCACATTTGTAATTCTTCACAAATCATCTTTGCTAGATCTCTGAGTTCCAAAGTTAGCATTAGGACTTTGTTGAATAATGCTAAATATCATCTATTGAATGGATTTGAAAATCTATGTTGTAACATTTTGAATGCAAGGCAGTTGACTGTATTGCGTGTGAAGTGCTATTGCACTTATCGAAAAAAAAGTTTTCCAGAAGCCTAGATAAAGTATTAACCTAGATAACTAAAACTACCAAAACTAGTCATTTCAGTACAAAGTAAATATTTTCCCAATTTCTCCAAAGTATATGATTTCTTTGTTTTGTAAATATGTTTACAAGTATATCCAAGTTGTATTAAATAGAAATGATTGTACTATTTGATACTGGGATTGTCCTTTCTTGCATCTGGATTTATGCTTCATAATGATTATCTACTAGACACAGAAATAGTCTTTCTGTAACTCAAAAATTTTACTGGAGGCATTTAGCAGAACCTTGCTTTAAAATATAATGATTTTTCATCTTTATTCTCCCCCCTTCAAAAGGTTTCACTGCTCCTGATGTTTAACGTTATGCAAAGACGTGTTTCTGCCAATGAATATCGCCTTATGGTTATGCTTCTGCAAATAACCTGCTGTGAGCTGATAAAAGGATTAATGCAGCCAAAATTCTTAATCTGTGAAATTACAAATTAAATTCTCATATTAAAAATACCACCCTGAGGTATTTTTTGTGGTTTTAATTCCCCTCTGGTGTTCTGCATACATTGTGCTTGCTAATGACTAGGACAAGACTGTCTCTGTTGGCAGCCTGCTGCAGAGTGATAATGTGTAGGCATTTACTTCACTGATAGAACTGGATTTAACCACTGACTGATAAACTAAGTGGCAAGTGGGTAATAAGTCCATATTAACAGAAAAGTACTACTACAGAATTCAGAATTCATAGACTATCAAAATCCTGGCTTGACTATATCATACAGTCAGACAGGATTGAGATGTCACCAATGCAGAGTGATTTTTGTTTTCCAAAGGAAAAGGGGTAACTGACTGTCATGTTTGATGTTTCGTTAGTCATGAACTAATGAATCTCTTTGCATCATACTTCCAAGCAAAGACAGTTTCTCAAGAGCCTCACTAACTTCCACTGAAATGTTTGGATTTTCAGCACTTGTGCAATGGTCAAAAGCTGGGTGGGTTGGTAGGAGGGCTGATGTGGTACAAAATTGTACAAAATTTAACAAATTAAATTTAAATTGTAACAAATTGTTACATTGTACAAAATGGAGCTGTGTCTTATTGAGTAGGTTTGTTGGAACACTAGTCTATCAAGATGGATCAAAGTGTACTTATGAACTCGAGCCAGCAAATATAGAAGAAGATGGCAACAGAGGTGTGAAGATGTGGCCTGGTATCCAGGGTTAACTTCCAGTTGTCACCATGCTGTCAGTGCAATTTTGCTGTTGCACAGCAGCCTTTTTCCCCCCCGACACATACTGTCACCCAGCCAGCATCTGGGGAGGCTACCCTGGGTACCTCACCCTAGTTACACTACTGGATGGCAGGTTATTTTAGTGATGCAAACAAAATCTATTATTGATTACTACTGCAATTTTTCCAAACTTAAATGCCCAAATCTCATATCTGATAGATCAAATCAGCAATGTTTAGGCTCATAAATGCTACAGTCACATTCTCATATTGAATCTGGAACTCCTACTAAGGGGCTTGTGTTTGATAACTGAGCACAGTATATATGGTTACAGTGCAAGATTACATTTAATAAAATTGATATAAATAAAAATCAGAAGACAATTCCCCTGTAAAACCTATTTATGGTAACAAAACACTCTCTGAATCAAAACTACATCATTACGGTGCATTCAAAATAGGTTTTTTGCCAGAATTCATACTTGTGATTTTTTTAGCGCACTGGAAAAAAGATAAAGCCATCTGTGCTATAAGTACTTCACAAAAATTTAAGCAATTAACAGCATGTGTGTTGAGAGGAGCATTTTGGTTAAGACAACTGAAATGCATTTTTGTTTAATAAGACAAAGAGATGTGTGTGAATACTGAAAGCATTCCCAGCTAATAAAATAAGCTGCAAGTCGTCTTATACATTTCAATTCAGCAAACTGACCAATTGTCTACTTTGTGTTTTTCAGTCTTCCAAATGCCAGGTCTTTTTTAAAGGTTATTGTGATAGTGTCTGAGAATCAAACATTGTAGGATTTTTATCCTGCATGCTGCAGCTAGTTAAAAAGTACTGTATGTTATGAAATGAAAAGCACTAAATATGTAAATTGTATTTTTCCTTTTGCTTTATGACAATTCAGATAATTCTCTTGGCTGCACACATAATCAAATACAAAGATAGCTAGCTGCAGACTGCAGAGCAGAGATAGCAAAAAAGAATCCATTTTTCCTGTGTTAAGCAAACTGTTCAATTTTAACTACAGAATTTTACACATAGACACACGCACACGCTCGCATGAGCGCACACATGTACACACACACACACCCACCGCCCTGATTTTCCTGTTTTTATTCATCTCGGAGGTTTTGTTATACTTACTATCTGTTAGCTCCCATAGCCGTGGGGGCAGATCACTGAAATACTCATGGCTCAGGGCTGCCTGTGCTGACAATCTGTTCTTTGGGAAACACTGGAGCAGTTTGGAGGCCAGATCTTCTGCATGATTCATGTAGCTTAGCCTGAAACACAAGCAAGAAGTAGAAAAAATGCAAACACACAAGCTGGTTACTCACTTTACTAATATTTATTGTAATTTTTAATTACAGTAAAAATATAGGAACTTACATGTTGGATACAAGGATTGACAATTGTACCGGTTCAAAGACTTGCTATATTCAGTGTTGGATCAAGGCCAAACAACTACAATTCTTAGATTAAGGGAGGGACTGAGGAGACTTTTGTGGACCAGTTTCTTGTGAACCACTAGTACCATAACCCTGCACAGCATGTAATTTCTGCATCATATATGCTTCACCTACCAGTGGAGGTTTATGAATGAAGAGCTCTTAAAGCATGTTATTTTGATTATCATTTTGCTTTTTTTCCTCCAATACACATTTTATTTAAATAGGCTGATAGCCTGGAACTGCTAGAGATGGAAACAAATTATTAGAATACCTAAGACATAAATTCTTAGCTTTCAAACAGCAGTAAAAATTTCTGAAAGGCTATGAAATAACAACTGCTAAAATCAAATCCTATTTACCATACCCGAATGGCAGGAGGTTTTGAGTGGAGTCCCATAGGGGTCTGTGCTGGGTCCACTGCTGTTCAACATGTTTATTAACAATTTGGATGCTGAAATGGAGCTGCTTGAGCAAATTCACAGACAACATAAAACTGGAAAGAATTCTGAGGATAGAAGCACAATTCAGAAGGATCCTGACAGATAGGAAACCTCGGCTAAGGCCAACACAATGAAGTTCAATGCTGACAAATGTAAGTGCTACCCATCAGGAAGAATCGCAGATTTGATATGAGCCTGCAATGTGAAACAACTGCACAGAAGGCAAATGCAGTTTTGGACTGCATCAGTACAGGCATTAGGTACAAGACATGGAAGGTGATAGTGCTTCTTTACTCAGCACTGGTTAGGCCTCATCTAGAATACTGTGTGCAGTTGTGGGCTCCACATTTTAAAAAGGATGTGGAGAAGAATGGAGAAGTTAGAGAGGGTCCAGAGCAGGGGTGGGTAATTATTTTGGACAGAGGGCCACTTACTGAGTTCTGGCAAGCCATCGAGGGCCACATGACAGGCAACCCACGGCAAATTAATATTGTTTTTCTAAATTTTTAGGGGCCCTGTGGGCCAGACAGAATGGCCTGGTGGGCCGCATCCGGCCCATGGGCCACATTTTGCCCACCCCTGGTCTAGAGGTTAGTGACAAGGGAGATAAAGAGCCATATAAGGAGAGGTTAAAATAAATAAGCATGTTCAACTTTCAGAAAAGGCAATTAAGAGGGGATAGGATAGCCATCTTCAAATATCTGAAGGGCTGCCATAAAGAAGATGGAGAACACCTTTTCTCTGTTGCTGCTGAAAGCACAATACAGACCAATAGCTGGAAGTTGCAGCAAAGTAGGCTTAGATTGCCTATGAGGGAAAACATCTTCACTGTTATAAGAGTGAGACAGTGGAATAGACTAGCTGGGGAGGGTTTTCAAAAGAAGTTTGGATAAGTATTGGTCAGGGATAATCTAAGAGTAACTATGCCTGGAGTGCTCTATAAAGAACAAAAGTTAGAAACCCAGGAGCACCCCCATCCACATGGCTTGCTGGTAGATAATAAGAGCTATGGAGTTTAAAGCACAGGTGTCAAACACATAGCCTGCAGGCTGAAATCAACCCCTGTGGCCCAATCATCCAGCCTGGCACTTCTGCTGGGCATCAGAGGTGATCAATACCCTTGACCTGCTGGCAACACGCCTACCAATGCAGCCCAGTATGCCATTAGCCTTTTTGGTAACAAGGGCACACTGCTGGCTCATATTCAGCTTATTGTCTACTGTAACCTGAAGGTCCTTTTCAGCAGAGTAGCTGCCCAGCCAGTTGGCCCCCAGCTTGTACTGGTGCATGGGATTGTTCCATCCTAAGCACAGGACTTTGCACTTGTCCTTGTTGAACCTCATGTGATTCCTTTGGGCCCAATCCTCCAATTTGTCTAGATCTCTCTCAATCTTAGCCCTGCCCTCCAGCATATCTACTACTCCCCACAGCTTGGTGTCATCTGCAAACTTGCTGAGGGTGACTCTATGTCATCTTCCAGGTCATTGATGAAGACATTTAACAAAACTGACCCAAGGATGGACCCCAGGGCACTTCATTTGATACCAGCTGCCAACTAGACCTCGAGCTATTGGTTATTACCCTCTAGCAAACGACATGATGCTCCAGTCAGTTTTCTATCCACCTTACAGTCCATTCATCCAGCCGTACTTCCTTGGCTTGCCTGCAAGAATGTTGTGGGAGACTATCAAAAGCCTTGCTATAATCAAGGTATTCCACATCCACTGGTCTACCCACATCCACAGAGTCAGTCACCTCATCATAGAAGGCAATCAGGTTGGTCAGGCATAACTTGCCCTTGGCGAATTCATGCAAATTGTTCCTAATCACTTTCTTTTGTTTTCCTCCAAGTGCTTTGAAATGGATTCCTTGAGGATCTTCTCTTTGATTTTTCCAGAGACTGGGGTGAGGCTGACTGGTCTGTAGTTCTCTGGACCCTCTTTTTTCCCTTTCTTAATATGGGCACTATGTTTGTTGTTTTCCAATCATCCGGAACATATCCTGATTGCCATGAGTTTTCAAAGATGATGGCCAGTGGCTCTGCCATCTCATCAGTCAACTTGCTCAGCACCCTCAGGTGCATCCCATCTGGCACCATAGACTTGTATATGTTAATCTTTTCTGAACAGTCCCTAACCTGTTTTTTCACCACTGTTGGCTGCTCACCTCCTCCCCAAACTGTGCTGCCTGGTGCAGTAGTCTGGGTAGCTGACCTTGCCTGTGAAAACTGAGGTGAAATAGGCATTAAGTACATCTGCCTTTTCTGCATCCTCTCACAATGTTGCCTCCTGCATTCAGTAAGGGACTGTTACATCTCAGCTGTGTGTTCTTGGGAACCCTGGCACAGGATGCAGTCTGCCTGCCTCACCCCCCTCTCCCTCCCCTCCTCTACATAAATGAAACTGATCATGATGCAGTGAGAGAGACACCTAAGACCCTCCAGATAAGGGTGACAAGAGTGAAACAACTGCCCTAGGTCTCATTTGCATCCGAGATGGAACCAGATGACCATTCATTTACATGAGAGATGGAGAACAGAAAGCCTGAAGCAGAGACTGCAGTGAATTCTGGGACCAGAGAAGCAGGGGAGCACTGCATGATGGGGAATCTGTGCTCCAAATGTTAATCAACCCATGTTCACACACACCCAGCTCAGCATTTATCAGACCAGTTCTAATCTGGATTTACAAAGGACTTTTCCCCCCC